GCTACCAGATGTTGATCCTTTCAAGGCACTGGTTGGATCAATGATCACTTAAGACACATCTTCCAACATGTTTCGTTTAGGACATGGTTTACATCGTTCCCAGTTGTTTTTCTTGTTGTTGTGAAATTGTATTTTGTGAAGAACACTTCACAGGTACATGCATTTGCTGTTCAGGACCCCTATGCATGTACGTCGGACTTCGATTAGATTGTGATCGGAATTAGTTTGTTTTTGATATTCTTATGTCTCTTATCAGGTCCTCATTATTTGTGAAGATTAGGCTCACGTGTGTTTTCTAGTCTTGTTTGGCCTCCACTATCTTGCTGGCTTAAGGTGTGGTATTTCGCAGCAGACTTAGTAGACATGTGTGTGTGACCTTTCATCTGCCACTACTCCGGGGATTGTTTAGCGATAACATTATTCTGGCTAACATTCTTCCCAAGTTTTGTATGCCTTGGTTGAAATCACCAAGCAGTAGATGTTTGGGGATGGAGCTGGAAGGTTTCCAAACAGTATTCGATTTTCAGTAGCTGTTCTTGAACTGTTGTGAGGTTGCCATCAGGAGGCTGTTATACAACCTCATGACCTAGGTTTTGGTTCCGATCTTTATTGAGTCTAGAACGTTCAACTACCTCATTTGTGGTGTTCAGCAACTCCGTGAAGATAAGGGACTCTTTGACTACAGGCCCAACCCCCTTGTTGCCTGTTTTTTCTGTGCATCTAAAAAGGTTTGTAACCATTACTCCTTATTCAACTGTCAAGTGACTCTTTTGTGTGAGTCTCTGTGAAGGCTGCAAAACATTGAATTAGAATCCCAATTGATGTTCCCACTGTTAGAAAAAGGTATTTTGTTGTTGGTTGGATGGCTTAAGGCCCTGTATATTAGCAAATTATGAACGAGGTTGTTTCTGGGTTTGTTGGGGGATTTTGTTATTGGCATCAGTAGTTGTAATTATGGAAGGGACCATGGGTGGCCAACTGGCTGACGCTCCAGTCCAACAAGGCTCCAAGGTGGTCGGACCTATTTTGGTTATTTCCTTCCATTTTCTTTTTTCGTTTCCTCCACTTCTAAAATATCACTGGAGTTGGGTTGTCGTAGCTACTATTGTTTGTCTTGTGGGGTCTGTCCGTGCCTCCTGGTACCTTTTTTGTGGTATGCAGGGCACTCGATGTTGTAACATGCTTCTGGAGGACGAGGAGTGGCACATTTTTGGCGTGAAAAACAAGGTATAGGAAGAAGAAACGACACACTCTTTGACAGGAGGTCGCCTTACATTTTTGATGGTCAAAGTTGCATGTCCATTTTTTTTCCCCTGTTATTCCATGCTTAAAGATGCCCACCAAGCATAATATTTGCACAAAATTCACCTTTACGATTGAGATTGTTGGGAGGTGTGGTTGTCAATTTCTGAGGTTATGGGACTGCTCTATAATCATCAGTATACAAGCCAGGGCACCCGTCCTGGATTCCATCTACTTTTCCCCACAGTAGAGGATGAAGGAGGAGGATCCTTCAACAATCTGTACTGTGGGCCACGGTCTTGTGCAATGATGGTTGTTAAATTTACTGTTTTTTTGATGGTTTGGTAGTTGTACCTAGGTGAAGAGTCTGGGCTGGCAGTAAGGCTGGTGGCTGGGTCTGGGTCAGCCACTTGGGCTGGGGGCTGGGCTGGGTCTGGGTCAGTGCTGGGGAATGGGCCTGCAACAGCATGTGGGTTTAGTGCTACGCACTGGGGGAGCCTGGGCCAGCGCCAGCATGTGGGGGTTTGGTGCTATGCCTGGGGGAGCCTGGGCCAGCTCCAGGACTGTGGGTATTAGTGCGATGCTGGGGAGCCCTGGGCCAGCACTAGACCTTGTGGGTATTAGTGCTTGACTGGGGGAACCTGCGGCCTGCACCAGCACTGTGGGTATTGGTGCTATGCCTGGGGGAGCCGGGCCAGCACCTGCACTGTGGGTATTAGTGCTATGACTGGGAGGAATGGGTCTGGGTTAGCACCCATGTGGGGTGACTAGATAGTGTAGAGTCATCTGTTGTGGTATGGACTTTCTGCACGTTTTTGATACACTATCTCTTGTCCATGTTTTATATATTTATTGGTAGACTATTCCAAGAGGTCATCCTTGTTTTCTTGATTTAATTTTATATTTATAACTACTCTTCCTTAGTACTTTTTCTGATACCTGCCCAAAGTTCTAATATTTATTGCACACCAGAAGCCACCTTGCTAGTTCGAGGTCATTTTTTTTGGCTGTATTTAGTTAGTTCAGAGATATGGTGTTTGGAAGAGCTTAGGTTGCATGTGATTCTGGATTTCCTTCACAAGGATATTTTTTTTTTACATGTCCCACAGATTATGCTGTTGCTGGACATCCTGTCTGTATCCTTACTAACACTGTATGCCAACGGAAGGAAGGAAGAAAACTGATTTCCACCTTTACACTTTCTCTTGCTGGTACCAGTATATGCAAGATGTATTATTACAAACCAAAAGTTTGCAGTATGTGGGTGAGTGGTGTTGGGTAGGGTGGGTGGTGGGGGTAGGGGGTGGTGTGATGCCGGCAGACTTGCCCACACTGCCACAGTTCACTCATTTTTTTTTTATTCTATTTATTATTATTATTATTATTATTAAAAATTTATTTTTATTATTTAAATTCCTTTTATGTGTGCTGTACACCTGTTATCTCAAGGATATACACTGGTTTCTTTCAAAATACCTTTTCACTGCATATACTGGGATCATTGTTTATAATTTACACAGCAGCTAGGCGACCCCCCCCCCCCGCTAACAATTACCATTACACTTTTTATGGAAAAGATTATTTCCTGTTTTTAGTAGAGGTAACGGTTGTATGCTCAATTTATGGTATTGCTGTGATTCCCTGCAACTCAATGCTACCACCATCGTTTCATATCTTATGACTATAGTAGTTACTTATCCGTTATAACACTTCACTGGACCTCTGGCAATAGTTCGCTAGTGCCAGTCGCTTGTAAGATATTCCCTATCTACACTATATTTTGTACGCTATATTTGGGGATAATTAAGATTACTCTTATCTACAATTTAGTTCACTATGTCACTGCACATATATATCCTTGTCACTCACTATATTACTTATAGATAGATCGATATTTGTTTATTTCCACTTGTGTCGACATCCGGCAATAATTCACTAGTGCTGGTCAGGTCTATTTCCCACGGTAACCGTTTCTCCACCGGCACTCTCCATGTGACACTATAATCCATATTTTCCTATTTCCGATTGGTATGGTTTGTATGCAATAGTGTCATTACGATTTCGTGACTCACTCACTCATTTCTTTGCTGTCATCTGTGTATGTCCCATCTCGCCTAAGCAGGGGCCCAATACTGGATGTTTTTCCCTTAGATTTGGCATAAGAGAAGAAGTATTTTATTGACAAGCTATTGGCAAGTTAAAGGACTCTTAACTTTATTGACAAGGTAAGAGCTGTTACCTACATCAGTTCATTGGAAAGCCATTTTATTGTTAGGAAACATACAAGTACAGATCAGGATGAAGTTGGAGCCATCTTTGGGCCAGCATTTTCATTTGATTAACTGATTTTATCTCGTTGGTATTATTATGCTGTATGAATATGTTCCAGACTCGAGTCATTCTGGGGATAAAATGATCTTAGATGAAGTGATGTTCTGGAGGTGGTGTAGTAGTTTGCTTCTCGCTGTCCTCGAAGTGGAGCCAAGTGTGGTACCAAGTGTTGGCCTTGTACATAACAGTAAGGCCACTCACATCTCTCCTGTGTTGAACGCTCTGCTGAAATGAAAGATCTATTCAGGACTGGTCCAGGCGAGAGATGAGACGTCTTGCTCTGTTCTCTACTCTGTCAAGCAGTCGCAGATGAGATGGGGGGGCAAGCAAACCAAGAAAGTGGAGCATACTCAAGTTCTCTCTCTCTCTCTCTCTCTCTCTTCTCTCTCTCTCTCTATATATATTTTTATATTATATATATATATATATATTATATATTATATATATATATTATATATATGTCGTGCCGAAAAGGCAGAACTTGCGATCTTGGCTTAAATAGCAACGCTCATCTTGCCATATAGGACAAGCGAAATTTTTTGTATGCAATAATTTCGCCAAAATCATTCTGAACCTAACGAAAAAAAAAAATATTTCACTGTGTTTGTTTAGTATATATATATATATATATATATATATATTTATATATATATATATATATATATTTATATATATATATATATATTTCACTGTGTTTGTTTAGTATTAAATTATTGTAAACAAATCTAAAATATATTTAGTTGGGTTAGGCTAAAATAAATTGTTCTTGTTATAATAAGGTTAGGTAAGTTTTCTTCTAAGATTCTTTTGGAGCAAAATTAAATTTTTTTACATTAACATTAATGAAAAAATATAGCTTTAAACGTATAAGAGAAAATTTTATAAAGGACTTAATTTTAAATGAGTTCTTGCTGATTGACCAGTTTTACATATTCGGCACGACATATATATATATATATATATATATATATATATATATATTATATATATATATATATATATATATATACATATATATATATATATGCAAAACAACACTCTGAAAGAATAGAGAAATTCCAAGCGCTTTCGTGACTACTCACATTATCAAGGAACTATGTTCCTAGATATGTGAGTAGTCACGAAAGCGCTTGGAATTTCTCTATTCTTTCAGAGTGGTTGTTTTGCATATTCTGAAATCACCTGTTTACTGTGATCTTATTGCATATATATATATATATATTATATATATATATATATATATATATATATATATATATATATATATATAATATATATATTATATATATATACTCTTGATACGTATTAATTGTTTTTAATATTAAATAAATTCAGTTTATTAATACATTTTTCGTTGCTTTATAAGGCAAGCTTGTAAGATTTGCATAAAAAGTAAGATATTTATAATTCCGCTAACCTTGCTCTGCAGGTGTTGAGATTCTTGCGAGAGCGCCGTCACCATCTTCTAGAGATGGAGTGTTGCACGTTGAGGGGAAGACCCTGGCTGGTGGTGGACAGCTGCTGCTGCTGTTCACTCAAGAGAGGAGTCTATATCATCGCCTCCCTTGAGATAGTGAGTGATGCTGTTAACAGTGATTGTTCTGGTATGGTGACTGCTGCTGGTGTTAAACAACAAGGATTGTTGACTCTGACGGTCGGTACTGCTTGTGGACCAGAGTTCACACCTTTGGGCTAGATCTTTGGATTGTTAAGCATTAATGTATAACTCGTGAGCCAAGTAATCACAGGTGAAGAAGATAACCTCAACAAAACAGCTGATGTACCTGCTACTTTTAGTTACGAGCCGATCACTCTAGCATGGCTATGATTTTCCTAAAGAAAGCTAGGAAACAAGTTACAGAGAAACTGATTTTTCTTTTTGAATCACTCTTCCTAAATGAGGAAGGAAACATGTGTTAATATTTAAAATGATCTATTTAACCCAGTGGTTCCCAAACTGGGGGTAAATTACCCCCTGGGGGTAATTTAACCATTTTTGGGGGGTAATGGAGGGGCGACAGAAAAAAAGTTAGTTCTGAAAATCGAGAAAACAATGCGGTACCCGGTATGAGGATTGTTTTACTTTGTCTTGGTATATAAAGTTGTAAAGTAAACCTATTATAAGAAAGTAATAAAGTTAAACCAAATAACAATAAATATCAAAAACTAATATACAGTATTAGAAAAGAAATATATAGCTAAGTGTGTGGATACCCAAAAGTATTTTGACAAGTATGCTTCAGGACAAAAGTCACTCAGTAGCCCAGATAGACCTGGCCAGTACGTGTCACTCACTTCCTGAGGCTGCCTCTATTTCACACTGTCAGTTTATCTGTGAGCATCAGCCGAGGTAGACATAAGCTGGTATGTATGTGTACTGCCCTGTGCAGTATAGTTAGTATTTACCCACTGTTACTGTGAATTTGTAGCTATTATTAATTTTATATATAATGTATGTGTGGTTCTTAAGTTTTTAAAGGTTTTGCTAGGATTAGAGTATGCGAGGCTGTATACGTTCACGTTTAGCCATATATATCAATAATAACATTTTGTGAAATGGGTAACATGCTTTATGTGGAATGTTAAATTGGGTAACAAGCTGAAAAAGTTTGGGAACCACTGATTTAACCTATCACCCCTAAAAATATAGATTTTTTTTTTCAGCTTGCTTGCTTCGTCTCGATAATTCTGTTATTGGTTCATATGAAGTTTCCAGGTCAGTATTTACTGAATGAATTAAGCCAAAAATAATCAAATGTATTGGTATACTGCGAAAAATTATTTGCTGTATATTGCTATAAATGACACAAGAATAATGTATGTACAGTTAAGTTTTTGTTCAATTCTCTCCCTCTCTCTCAACGTAGGTGTAACTATACAGTAATCAGCATGTCTCCACAGATATGGTGGGAAGAATCTTGGAGTTACTGGCTCATATCGTCATCACTTCCATTCTTATCTACGGAGTTAAAAAGGTCCGTTCCATTTACCCATGACTAATAAAGGTTCATTTCCACTTATTCATGATTAACAAAGGTACGTTTCCACTTAGCCATGACTAGCAAAGGTTCGTTTTCACTCAGTCATAGCTAATGAAGGGTCGTTTCCTCTTAACCATGACTAACAAAGACTGGTTTCCACTTAGCTTTGACTAACAAAGGTTTGTTCCCTCTTAGCCATGACTAACAAAGTGTACTTGGTCATCGTAACATCTTTGGCAATGACCAGGCTGATAACCTAGCTAAATCGGCCTCTGGCTCGAGATTTCCCAGGGAAACCTCTGGGCCACTGCTTTTTTGGGAAAGAAATCACTAGACCAGTGGTAAAGACGGAAGTTCTCAGGGAGGTACTACCGTCCTGCCAACTGCGTGTGGAGCAGAAACCTGTAGTTGTTTTACATATTGGTAAGAATGCTGGTATCTTTTTCTTTCTGTCTCATAAACACGTAAGAACACTAGTACGTCTTGCTACTTCTACTTACACTTAGTCACACTAAATATACATGTACAAGTATATGTGTACATACCGATCTGAATTTTTAACTATTTTTCTGAATAGTTTTCGTTCTTTGTATTTCCATTCATCTCCATGGGAAGTGGAATGGAATCTTTCCTCCATAAGCCATGTGTGTCGTATGAGGCGACCTAAAATGCCGGGAGCAATGTGCTAGTAACCCGTCTGTATAAATACTAAAGAAAAGAAGAAAAAACTTTATAAAACTGGGCTGTTTGAATGTGCATGGATGTAATGCAGATGATAAGAAAGAGATGATTGTCAGTGTTATAAATGAAAGAAGTCGGTTGTCCTTAGCGAAAAAAGCTGAAGGGGGTAGGAGAATTTCAGTGGGGAAAAATAAATGGGAATAAATTAGGAGTATCTGAAAAGTTAGAGCTAATTTAAGGAGTAGCAGAAGTTGAAACAGTAATGAAAAAATAAA